CCTTCCTTCCATTTTGTTTCTCTTTCTCTCTTTCTTTTCCTTCCTTCCTTCCTTCCTTCCTTCCTTCCTTCCTTCCTTCCTTCCTTCCTTCCTTCCTTCTCTTTCTTTCCCTCCTCCCCCTCCTCCATATTTACAATGGTTGCAGTATCCTGGGGATTCTCATTTGCAACCTTGGGGAGTTTCTCACAAGCAAAGACAAGGGGGAAAGCCAGGTTCACTTAATGACCGCGTCGTTCACTTGAATTCAGCGATTTGCTTAACTACAGTGGCAAAAATTGTAAAGCGGGGCAAGACTCCCTTAACAATGATTCCCACTTAGCAATGGAAGTTTGGGGCTCAATTGTGGCCGTAAGTCAAGGGCTACCTATAGGGCCAGGATTTGTTTCCGGTTCCCGTATAACGCCTCCGTCCCTCTTCCGCGACAGGCATCCGCTCCGTGAGCTTCTACGAACACATCATCACGGTGGGGACGGGCCAGGGCTCCCTGCTGTTTTACGACATCCGAGCCCAGAGGTTCCTGGATGAGAAACCGCCACAGAATTTCTACGGATCAAAATTGGCAGGAAGTGAAATTCTCAAACTCTCCACCGGCAAAGGTTGGCTGGTGAGTAGCTGCAGAAAGAGGAAAGCGGGGGTCATGTAGGCTCCCCGGTGTGTGTGTGTGTGTGTGTGTGTGTGTGTGTGTGTGTATTTGGGAGGTCAACAAGAGACGTCATCAGACTACGGAGACTTTTAGAAACCAGGTGCTTTCAATAGCTTTGTCCAGTGATGGCTAACCTTTGTCCCATTGCATGCCAAAAGCAGGGGGAGTGCAAGGGGGGTTATGTGCAGGTGTGCCCACACTCATAATGCTGCGCACGCCACCCCCACGCATGCATGTGCGACCCCTGCCCTCTCCCCCGCTTTTGGCCCATGATGGACCCGTTTTTTGCCCTCCACAGGCCCTCTGGAGCCTTCAGGAGGTTTCCCTTAAGCCTCCGGAGGATGAAAAACGGCCTTACAGGCAAACCGGAAGTTTGGGAACAGACTTCAGGGAAGGCTCTGGAGGGCAAAAAACGGCCGAAAAAGAAGGCATGCGCGCTGGAGCTGAAGGGCAACACCTTGCATGCCCTAAGAAATGGCTCCGCATGCCACCTGTGGCTTGTGTGCCACAGGTTCACCATCACAGGCTTTGTCCTTTGGTACTCTGCATTATCAAGATGGAAGCGATAGTTGGTCAGCTAAAACAGAGCTATGATGGATTCCAAAACCTCACCAGCAATCACTCAATTGGTCTAGCGGTGAAGGCACCAGCTAGAAACCAGGTGATGGTGAGTTCTAGTTCTGGCTTACGCATGAAAGCTGGCTGGGTGATTTTCTTCCAATCCACCAGGAAACCCTTGAGCTCTAGTCCCACTTTAGCCATGAAAACTGGCTGGGTAACTCTGAGCCAGTCACCAGGGGACAGTGAGTTCTAGTTCTGCTTTAGGCATGAAAGCTGGCTGGGTGACTTTGGGCCAATCGATAGGAGACGGTGAATTATATTCCCAGCTTAGGCATGTTGACTGGGTGTCTTTGGGCCAATCACCAGGAGTCTGTGAGTTCTAGTCCCACAGTAGGCAAGAAAGCAAACTGGGTGACTTTGGGCCAATCTTCTAACTGACAAGCTGGTCAGTTAATTTCTGTTGCTACACACGACTGATGCAATAAACACAGCATCTTCATTTGGGGATAAACCAGGAATTGCGTATCTCTTGTGCTGTAGCTTCTCCTCTCTTTCTTCCTTAGTCCCGGAGATATACAGGCAGTCCTCAACTTACAGCAGTTCGCTTAGCAGTGGCAGTTTAAAAAGTCGCTGCTTTTCACATGACCGTTGCAGCATCCCCAGGGACACGTGATTAAAATTGGGATGCTTAGCGATGAGCTCGTATTTATAACGGTCGCAGTGTCCCAGGGTTGCGTGATCCCCTTTCGCGACGTCCTGTCAAGCAACGTCCACGGGGAAGTCAGATTCACTGAACAACTGTGTGGCTGTTCAGACCCAGGCTTCCTTAAAAAGCAAGAAGCGGAGTCTTGGTCCCGGCGAAACCCCTTTTATTTACACAACTGTGAATTCCTTTCATTCAGAGTCAGCCAGGCTTTAGCAAATAGTCTTTCAGAGGAATATTTATCTACACGAACCTTATCTCGTCTGGAAAGCTGCCAGATAACTAGTTTCCAAACACAAGGCAAACCTTGGCACAGAATCTTTTATAGTCACAAACAGAACTTTCCACTCCCGAAACGACCAAATGAACAAATTGTTTCCTGCAAAAGCCCCCCCCCCCCCTCCCCTCCTTTTTTTTTCCCTTTGGGGGGGGCCAATCCCCCCCAAGGGGTGGCTTTACTCCCAAGTCGACCCTGCTTTCTTAGTTGCTCTTGTCTTCTGGCAGCTCTGCGCATGCGCACACTGGGAACAGGCTCCAGCTGTTCCTCTGCCTCACTGCTGTCTAGCTCCCTCTCTGCCTCCGACGCAGAGCCCTCGTCTGAGCTTTCCTCAGCCCCCAGGACTGGCCCAGGTTCCTCCCCAATCTCCTCACTGTCCGAATCTGCTGCCAGCT